ATATTAACTAAGCAATAACTGCTCTTGCTTGTGTTGAAATTTCATTTTCTGTGAAAATCATGTAACCCTAAAGTTTAATACTGGTTTTATACAAAGATAGTTGACAGAAAGTTAGGGTTCTAAAGATTTTTATACTCTTAAAATATTAGCATTAAGTTATTCTTGCTAAAATAGCATACTTTTGTCAAAGTCAAGACAAAACCAACAGCACTTTCAGAAGTGTGCATCACTTCAAACAAAAAGATAATTTCAAAGGGGTAGAAGGAAATTACTTACAGATGCAATTTACTATCTGTATCACAACAACTTGGAAAACCTAAAATATCTTAGTTATAATCTTTCTAATAATAGCCAAACCAAACATATGATTTATCTTCCCCAATACAAGAAACAGCTAACATTTGCTCAGGTGAGTTATTATATATGATATTAAAACTAATGTTATCATTTTTTTTATTATTTTAAAATCCTAAAAATGAAAATGTTAGATGAAAGCCAAGGATTTCATGTAACAAGCTAAAACACACAACTAATTACAATCACATTACCATAAAGCTATGATTTAATTACATCCCTACATTGTAAATAACTTTAGATTTCAAACTTTGGAAGGACAATAAAAATTGAAAAAACTTGCATCAGTAAATAATTCAATTTTAAATTATGATATGATACTGTAAATTTTTAATACATTGTAGTCTGAAAATCCAATAGAAACAGAAAACACATTTTACAGTTATTTAAATAGAGTGGCTTACAGTATATTATTATATTTTGAGTCCAAACTGATGTCTACAGGTGTGAAACTACAAATAAAACAAATACTGTAAAGAATGAATGATTTTCCAGGCAAACAATGTGTTGTTTGTTACTCAAAACCTTTTTTCCCCATATAAATACAATGAAACATTTTATAAACTTTGTACCTTATCGGTCCTTACTTATCATTGGAAAATACTGTCTTAATTATTCATTATACATAATTTATATCTAAAACAACTTTCAAATCTAAGGATATCAGTTACACAAACCAGTTTATTACTTATCGTTTAAATAGATTATATCTAGTATTTGTGAGATCAAATACCAGTATAAAGCATCACCATAATAAGTTTTAATGATCACAAGAACATAATATCAATCACCTATTCAAAATTACAATGTAAAGCTCTAGAAACAAACTGACAAAATCTATAAAGGCTGTTCCAAAATACATAGAAGCATTTATAATTTCATCTACAGTTTAATATAAGTACTGATTTACTAACAAGTTGTGGATTATTATCTTGATCATGCAGTTGCATAGATGTTGTCTGGAAAATTCTAGGGTTTTTTTTGCACTTATAAATCTTAACTTCAGTGTTTAACAATGAAAAATAAGGGATATGTACTAAGTCATGACACAAAAACCCTATATGCACTTGAAAAAACCTAAATGCAAAAGACCAGCACTTTTAACATTGTTCTTCGTCTAAAAGTAACAGTAAAACCATCAACACAGACCACAATCTCACACCTCACTGCTAGTTCAAGACATTTTGAGCAGAATGTATAACATTGCTAGATGTCAATCATGATAAATCTGTGCATAGAGGACCACAGATGCAGGCAAATAAAGAATATAATCCAGGACTAAAATCGGCACAAAGTCTTACAGATAATATCAAAACTTGTATGTGAATTTAATTGCAAATACATTTACATCTTGAAAATTTGCACACATGGTGCATCAAGATATTTGCTAGACAACTTGGCATGAAATAATGCATAAATGGGAAAAATAATGCAGATGGACTGAATAGCAATTTTGATAAATATATGGACCTAAGGAGAAAAAAGTGAAGTACATTCAGTATACATAGCAGAGGTTTTCTCAATAACAAATGTGCCATAAATGTAAAAATATCAAACATCTTGCACACAAAGAAATTATTTATGATTTCTGCAAAGTACAAAAGACAAACTCTTGTCAATGTAAGGGAAAAGAAGGGACATGACTAATTAGTTCATAGCTATCTCATCATTATTACAGCATATGCTTCCATTACCATAACAACTACCTGTAAGGTTATTTTACATATCACTTAAATGTCAGGTTCTCATTACTATTTCGATTGGTGTTATCTTTCACATATCCTATCTTTCTATGTTTTCCATATCATATTTTCAAAAAAAGTGTTAAAATAATAAAACACTATTTAAACAAGTAATTTGGCTTTTTAAAATTGTAACCATATAACTGTCAATGGAAACAATATGCCAATAAAGTTCTCTAATTATTGGAGAATGTGAAGTGCAAAAAAAACATGTTTTTACTATTTTGAGGTCATCAGCCACCTAGCTCAGTATCCTATGTCTAAATGGAACAGCCTTCAGTATCCCATATTTCTAAATGGAACACCCTTCAGTATCCCATATGTCTAAATGGAACAGCCTTCGGTATCCCATATGTCTAAATGGAACACCCTTCAGTATCCCATATGTCTAAATGGAACAGCCTTTATTATCCCATATGTCTAAATGGAACACCCTTCAGTATCCCATATGTCTAAATGGAACAGCCTTCAGTATCCAATATGTCTAAATGGAACAGACGTCAGTATCCCATATGTCTAAATGGAACAGCCTTCAGTATCCAATATGTCTAAATGGAACAGCCTTCAGTGTCCCATATGTCTAAATGGAACAGCCTTCAGTATCCAATATGTCTAAATGGAACAGCCTTAATACTAATTCATCTTCCAATCCAACAGATTAAAACAAACACACATGTTCTAAATGGAACAGATTATTTAAACAGAGACAGTTATAAAATACCATTGCATATTAATATGTATGAGACATAACAAAGAAAGATAAAAATGCACAAAATCCTCAGTTGTTTGTATTAAACTGCACACAATTTTACAACAATGCAAATCTAGTAAACTTGTCAATTTTATTTACAAATAAAATCAATATCTCTCAGAAATATAATGGCTTTCAAAACCCTGATGACTTCAGTATCTATCAATTTATGAGATTCAATGTCATACTGCTACTTTGCTACTTTGGACAATCAAATATAAAGCAACATTTCTTATTCAAAATTACCATTAACTCGTTGTCAAAAAAATAATTTTCAAAATCAAGTTACTGCTGTAACAAACAAATAAGAATAGGCCAAAAATAAATAATATCGTATTAGATAACGTGAATAAATGTTCAATTTCCATCTTTACATTTAATGGTGAGACTGTCAATTTCTGAGGGCTTAGAGCAGTCTCTGATCTTAATTTTACATTAGGCAAGCATTAAGTAGAAAAAAATCATCTCCAAACTACAATTTAATTTTGATTGCTTGTAAAAGGATAAAAAAAATTAACAAATATTCAGCACAACTTAAAATAAAAATTTATGTTTTGATACACAAAAACATTGCAATTGGATCTGCCAGTAGATATTTGATTAAACACAGCCAACTTTCCCTCAGTCCAAGTTCAAATGTTTATTTGACATGTACATGTTCAATTTGGCCTGTCAGCATGTCTCCTCATTTCCTGGAAGTGAGTGTAACATTTCTTCAAGTCATATCTTGTAAAATTATTTTTCTCAAAGAGTGATAAATATTTTTCTTTTTTATCTAGTGATTTTGTTGTAAAGAAGTCCAAAAACCTATACACAATTGCATTATTTGAAGTTAATGATAATGGATAGAGAGAGAACTTATGAAGTCAAGGTCAGATTTTATTCCGACTTTGGACTTACAAAACTTTGGTGCTAGTCTATCCCTAGGGCCATATTTTGGATTTCAGGTTTATTTTTATAATCCTGTTTTGTTGGTTGCTGTCTCATTTACAAAATATAAAAAATAAAACTAAAAATTGTTGCCCTGTCATGCATGGTTTCTATGAAATATATCTAAAATTCATCAGTTCAACACAGCATATACCAGGTAATAAGGACAATGCTGTATCATGCCATGTAACCTATTGACTTTGTAACATCATATACTACAACCATACAAATATTGGTGGATCCAGGAGGAAGAGGGGGGGAATGGTGTATTCATATTGACAATTGTTTATCCATAAATGTCAATGTAGGTGAGACAAAAGGCAAATTAGAAAATAATTTTAAACATTTCAATATTTTAAACACATGAATTGACATGAAATGTAGACTGACTATATATTTATAAAAAAAAAACGTTATAGTTATTAAGTTTGCTATTTGCACTGCAGTCTACAATTTCAATATTAGATTGTTGAATTTATTTGCTTTATATTACTTATTATAAAGAGACTTGTACTTCCTGTATCCAATCAACAAATGTAGAGTTTACAATAAAGTATGATACATTTAAAATAAAAGAAAAAAAAGGCTTCACCAAAATGTTTAGATGTTTCTGAATCATAATCAATTTGTATTTAAGTTTATTTAATGTTATTAAGTGATGAATAATCTAAATGAAATTTAGGCACCAAAGGATGTTGTACAAAACCATCCTTCTGAAATGTAATGCCCACAGTAAATGCCATAAATCACTATTTTAACCACAGGCATTTAATATTATAACTAAAGACTGCGTAAAAATACAGTGGATGTAAACAATTCCCTTAACAAATAATGAACAAAAAATAAATCATAAAATTCATAAAAACAAAAACACTATTGCACATGAAAACAAGATTAAAGCTGGAAATAAAAATAATAATAAATGGAAGCCTGTGGCTTTTAAATAATTTATGCTTATAGTTCATATCTAGCAGTAAAAAAACCAAATAGAATATACAATAAGGAGATGCAGAATGAGACAACTATCCACTAGAATATACTTTCTATCATATTAAGATTGATTGTTTTAAATAGTCATGGTAAGGGCAAAGAATTTTCTTGATTACCTCTTGATAACACTTGATTTTGACAAACAATAAGCAGTTTAAGTGTTCTATGGTCTCCATTTAATAATGCCATCAAAGGGCAGGGTGTAATAAAGACCTGAGAGGGTGTAATAAGGTGGCTTAGCTTTTCACTGAAATTTGAAGGATTAATTTCAGATTTTCATTTAAGTCTATTTTAAAGTGTAGGTAAAAAAAAACCAGATAGTATATGATACATTATGTCACAAAATATGTGATTAGTTAATAGAAATGTCCCTTCTATGCGTCATGAAAAGAAATTACAGATTTATAATCGTCGGTTTTTTTTTTAATAGTTTATTTGCCTGCTAGTACCAACTTAATAATTGACCATGATGTTTGTCTGTATGAACAGCACCTCTAGTGTAATTATTTTTGTGGTACTTGCATGTGCTCAATATTTTCCATTAACAAATATGTTACATATTATGTAATTTTTGTCATATATTGTTAAAAAAATGAATTTATGCTTGATTATTGTTATTATTTCAACCTTAAATTCTCTGTGAATAATCAATATGTATCTGCAGACCTATTAGTTATTTGTGAATCTATACTTTTAAGGAAATTGCCTCAAAATTGGAAGTTGTATTTCAAGTTTTACTATCATGCAAGAAATCAAAATATCTTGTTGAACATAAAATAATTGTGCATGTGAATTCAAATTTGTTCCTTTCGTTGAATCTAAAAATATCAGTCACTTGAAATCAACAACATGCAATGTGCTGTAGAGTTAGCTTTGAAATTTATATATATATAACTTTATTTTTTTTAAATCTATTTTCTAAAGAAATGTAAATTTTTTATTTCCATGAAACATTTCAATTCTCGAACATCAAGTTCATCATAAAATGATGACTTCACATCCCTGCCAATTTTTCTTTCCATAATATGTTAAAAAAATTATAAATTTACCTATCTTATCAATTCAACCAAATTGAAATTTACATGATTGCTTGAAGTAAACAGCAGTAAGTAGTACTTATGAAACATGTATATTATTGCAATAATGGCAGGTGATGGTAACTAGTCTTTGTCCATAAATAAAGTCTTTAGTTATGGAAATACCTGTCAAAAGGGGAGACAACTCTTAAGGTTATTCAATTAAAATGGATGTGAGACAGTACTTTCAAAATGTTAGCCAACATACTTTCTTTTTGGAGATGAAATTTTGCATACACAATAAATAGACATACAACCATTAATTAATAACAACCAATGTCTTAAAATAAAACTTGTCCTCCTATCCTCCCACATACATTTGAATAGCCTTAGCTGAGTAACAAAAATGATACAAAAAATGCTGTTTAAGCAGAATTCGTTATAAACCGCATAGTGTGATAGATTAAACTAGCAATTTAATTCATAGATCTTTGGTATCACATCAAATCTAAATGAATTTATTTATTATATGGGACAATTTAATTCGATAATTATAATTGGATTTAGGATTTCATAATGATGGATTTAATATATATGAACACAAAAACTAGTTTCTTACTGACATAGAAATATAAAGATCTAACATGATTATTCTAAAATATATGTATAAAAAAACAAAAAAACTAAGTTTTTCCTTACAAATAAAAAAGTATGAAGCAGATTTTAAAAGTTTTTATAAAACATAGAAATAGAGCACAAAAAATATTCAATGCTGATCATGATTATCTTTAAATAATGTGAGATCAGGATAAAATACCTAAAATTATTTTAATATTCAAACTTCAAGTGCTTATCATGTCCAGATTAATATATAATAATTCACTTTCTAATGATCAAATGTCAGTAAAGGGATATACAATTTCAAATATCATAAACTTTATTAAAAAGATCCAACTTTATTTTGAAACAAATTTATAAATACACCAGATAAAAAGTTTTTTGCATCTGAGAATTTAAAAAGTGTACAATATCTTAAAAGCACCAGGAATATCATATTTTCATGAAATTCATTCATATGGATGTAGCTGAACATTTCATAAACAAAAGTAGAGATATAAACTAAAAATGTTCAATATTTACATTATATTGAACATTATTGCACATATGTAAACACACTGTTATGTAAAACACATGACAGCTAACAAAGCACTGAGATCTAAAACTGTACACATATATTGGTCACTGTACATATATACACACAATTTATTAACACTATACAAACATGTGTATGTCATACATCAGTCTCAGGCTTACTAGCTAATTTTGCTTCTTTGTGGATCATATCACACTTGTCTAGCTCCTACAAAAATAAAAGACAAATCCTAAGTAAAATAAAATTGAGAATGGAAATGGGGAATATGTCAAAGAGACAACAACCCGACCAAAGAGCAGACAACAACCGAAGGCTTTGTATTTACTATGTTATAATTACAACCATTTAGAGTACAGACTTACATTATGAATTAGGTTTTTTTTATACAAATAGTTATCCAAAGGCTTAATAAGATAAACAATTCTGAATGTTTAGAATAATTTATTTGACAACTTTGTAAAACATTGCTAACTATGACTTAAAACTAACAGGTCTGGTCAAGTACCATTCATTTATGTATGTTTCAAAAAATGTATGATGTGTGCTTGTTAGCTCTAAGAACAAAAGCAGTTCATCCTTGTGTCTTATTCAATATTGTTCAAAATTTAAAGGCTAGTCTTGAATGAAGTCATCAACCATGTTCATAAAATTATATGAATAAAAAGGTACGACTTAATGTAAATGGTTTTATCACCTTACCTTTTTATTTTCCTGTGTCAATTTCTCTAGTTGATTTGTATGATGAGTTTGTAAGCTGCTCATTTGCTTTCCTTGTTTAATTTTCTGTCTTTTTATTTCATCAATAAACTTCTTCATGTTATTTTCATTCAGTTCTTTTATTCTCCTATAGTATAACATTATATGTTCAGGTGTTGTATGAAATGTATTCATAACACATTAATATAAAAGATAAGAAGATATTTTCAGACATATACACTCTCTCTTTCTGTGCAAAATATTTGAAAATAACTATACCAGGCCTTTAGACTACCCATCCACTTTTGAAATGGCTTAAGTCCTTTTTGTTATGTAGTAAACTTTTTTAAATAAGTATTTCAACTTTTTTAAAAGATGAAAATCTGACAATTTGAGCCAGAGTATTTCTTAAAAAGTTAAATATTTTTGTTTCCCTTGGGGGTAGATAAGAAAAAGGAAATTTTCAGACAATAACCAAGTCTGATAGGTTTAAGATATAAATCTAAAATTCTGGGCTCTCGGTCATAAAATTGTACTTGGAGTACAAAATATGTGCCTGAAACACTAAATCCAGTATTTTGATTGGTTGATTTTTGAGTCTGAGTACGATAATCATGCTGGAAATTTTAAAACCGCAAGGCCAGGTGTTTCATGTTTAACCAGAAGTCAACCCATAAAATTGAGTTCATTTTAATCAAGAGTATATCATTTATGTAATTTTTACAAACGAAAGTGAACCAACGCCTGGTGAGTCTGTAGTGAGTTAGAGTCCCTGAAGTGGATACCTCGGGTATGCAGGGTCGTTATGATGAAACACAATAATGTAGAAAGTCTTATAACAACAACACTGGAGGGACTGCTGCAGAAAATTTATTGATCGACATGTTTCGGTGCCTAGGCACCGAAACATGTCGATCAATAAATTTTCTGCAGCAGTCCCTCCAGTGTTGTTGTTATAAGACTTTCTACATTATTTATGTAATTTGTTCAAAGCACGACTATCTACTTCAGGTAATTTTTGTTATGTGAACACTGAACAGAAGATATTTGCAATATGCAGTAGGCTATAAAATTAACATTGTTTAGTAAAACTAACATTTAACTGTACTGTACAACTATAGGGATGAGTGCAATGAACTTTTTTTTTATAGGACATCTTACGAGAGAGGTTCAATGTAAATGTGGGGGTTTATGATTTGGCAAGGGATAAAACTTCTGAAATGTGAAAACTGCTGTTGTGTTGAATATTTAAGTAAAACTGTATCTGTCAAAAAAAGTTTTAATTCCAAAAGCTTAATAAGAATCCTGCACATTTACTGGCTAAACAAAATATCTAATGAAGACCTACTAAGACAGTTTAATCAAGATAGTATGGCTACATTATTTATCAGGAGGCATTGGAAATGGATTGGACATGTGATTAGAAGAGATAGAAATTCCATCACTAGAACAGTTTTACATTGGACTCCAGAAGGAAGGCGTAAGCGAGAAAGACCAAAAAACACATAGAGACATACTGTAGAAGGAGAACTGAAGACCACGAATAAAACCTGGGGGAACAGTAGAAAAATTGGCCAAAGATAGACAGACATGAAGAAACTAGGATGCTGCCCTACATGCCAATGGCATACCAGGCAGTAAGTAAGTATCTGTCAGAAAATATCAGTGCATTTGATCACTGCCTTCATAACATGGACCAAAAAAACATAAAAAGTTATTCCTTAATGACTATTTGTGAATTCACATACTAATTTAAAAAAAAAATAAATGCTGGAATATGATTTTCTCTATTTGAATTTATACATTTCTTACCTTTCTCTCTCCATCTTGTTTTTGATTGTTTTATCATTCTGTACTGCCTTGCTCGATTCCATTGACTGTTTGACTTGTATAGCCTTAAGTTCTTTCTCTTCCCTAACAAAACAAAATTATTTTTAATATAACAGTTCCATTTTGCACACGTTTTCACAGCTCTTTTAAATGAAAACTGAAAAATTTGTCTGCACATTCATTCTTGCTGTTTGAAGTTTCTCTTTAGCTGTTATAGTTTTTGCCTAAAAAAGGGTAAAAATCCCCATTTCTGGGAAATAACTTCTATAAGTAGTTGAATGATGATTTTGTCCATGTTAACTTTTTCATTGATATTGTCTTACTTTCTTTTTTGCTTTTTAAAGTTTCTCTATATCTATTTATTGTTTTCAAGGTAAAAAGAAAAAAAAATCATCATTTTGAACATATCTGTCTGTGTCAGATTTCTCTATCCATTATAACAGATTACAAGATAAAAGACAGCACTTGCATTTTACCCCTATGTTCTATTTTTAGACTTGGCGCCCATGTTGGTTGGCAGGCTGGATCACTAGACTATTTTTCAAACTACATACCCCAAGAATAATTGTAGCCAAGTTCTGTTCAATTGGTTCAGTTGTTTCAGAGAAGATTGACAACAGATCACAATGAAGACAGATGCCAAGTGATAGCAATCGCTCACACTGGCCCTTTAAGCAAGGTGAGCTTAAAGGGAACAAAAAGTATTCAAAACAGTCCGAGTTTTCAGTTTGGTAAGGGCAAGTAAATTACTCTGTAAAACATTTATTTGAAAGAGAGCTCTTTGAAAAGGTGACATATGCATCAAATAGTACATAGATTTTCTAACACAAATCCTAACTACCTTTGCAAATCAAAAAGTTCTTGAGCTAGAAAGTGCCATATTTAAAGCAAGCCCATTCAGATATTGACTTATTTGATGCAAACTCCATAGTAGACACTTATTTGTTCATGTGAAAAGTAAAATAACAAAACTACCGAACTCCAAGAAAAATTCAAAATCGAAAGTCCCTTATCAAATGGCAAAATCAAAAGATCAAACACATCAAACGAACTATAGAAAAATTTCAAAAGTTGGACGAGGGCCTGAATAACAGATGCTTATGCCACAGCATACCTTCTTTAAAACTGACATGATCAAAAATGGTTCCTTCTTAAAAATCTCAATAACAAAAGGATTCTTTCTTAACTGACCTAATAAGAAACTTAATTAAGTCTTGTTAAAAATAGCTATACCTTCTACAACTTTCATTGCATTAAGGACTAAAAAATTTCAAAATAATTTTATCTTTTTAACTTATAAGCATTTTATTGTTAACTTCAATAAAACAATGTTTTTTTTTGTAATCCCTGTATATACCAACCTTTCATGTCTAGCTTCTAACTCTTTGATTTGTTCTTGTTTGACATCATCAAACAATTTCTTCAGTAAATCATTCTGTTGAGCTATATGAAGTTTTCTCATTTCATGTTCTTCATTTAATTGTCTACTTCCCATATCTGTCCATTCTGTTGTTTGGTCACATACCAATTCTGATAACTACAAAATATTAATACATAAAATGCCTGCTTTAGGATGATTCACAAAAATGCATACTTATTTATACATGTGATTTAACTTTAGTTCTTTTATACCAAACAACTGAAACACTTAAGGTTTTGGAGCATATTTTTAAATCCCTGTTGTGTAAAATGTATACTTTAAAATCTTCAATGATAGAACAACCTATTAGGTAATATTTTCATTAAGCTAAGTTTCTTTTTCAAAAAAAATAAACAAGAGTATTGAAAGTGGCATAAAACACCAACAATCAATCAATCTTCAAAACCAAACAATTTTTGTTGTTGGAGAAATAAATTTTTAACATACAGTTGGCAATTATCTATATTTTGGATGAGAACATGTTGATTTGATATGAATACAGTCCCTGCTTTGTACTTGACCAACAAGCTGAGCTTGACTTTTTGGAGCTAACAAAGTAACTATTAAGATGACATATCATGCCAAACAATATCCCAACTCTGAGCTGACCAGTTTTTGGCTAACTTCCTAAATTCTGCATGATGAGTACAGTAAATACAAAATCTGAAGTCTTAATTTTAATCAAGCCAGGGATGAAAACCATAAACTTCCACATGCTACCATGAGACCACCATGTACTCTGATCAAATGATTAATTAGTAAATATAAAATAAAATGCTCCGCAGGGCGCAGCTTGATACGACCGCAGAGGTCAAACCCTGAACAGTTGGGGCAAGTATGGACACAACATTCAAGCTTGATACAGCTTTGCATTTGGATTGTGATTAAATATTTGACACAGCATAGGTTTCTGACACAGAATGAATGTGGTCTAAGAACTTAAAAATTTTAAATTGGACATTCACCTATTATGGTCCAATATCCAAAATCTAAATACATGGTTAGATTCAGCATATCAAAGAACCCCAAGAATTCAATTTTTGATGAAATCAAACAAAGTTTAATTTTGGACCCTTTTGACCTCAATGTGGACAAATTTGATAACGGGGCCCAAAAATCAAAAATCTAAATACATGGTTAGATTCAGCATATCAAAGAACCCCATATATTCAATTTTTGTTGAAATCAAACAAAGTTTAATTTTGGACCCCGATTTGGACCAACTTGAAAACTGGGCCCATAATCAAAAATCCAAATACATGTTTAGATTCAGCATATCAGAGAACCCTAAGAATTCAATTTTTGTTAAAATCAAACTAAGTTTAATTTTGGACCCTTTGGACCTAATGTAGACCAATTTGAAAACGGAACCAAAAATTAAGAATCCAAATACACGGTTAAATTCGGCATATCAAAGAACCCCAATAATTCAATTTTTGATGAAATCAAACAAAGTTTAATTTTGGACCCTTTGGACCTCAATGTGGACCAATTTAAAAACGGGGCCCAAAATCCAAAAACTAAATACACGGTTAGATTCAGCATATTAAAGAACCCCAAGAATTCAAGAATAAAACCCAATTGAAATTGATCAAGAAATAAGCAATTTATACGAAGTATCTTCTTTTGCACAATACTGTGCAATTAAATATTTCTTGCTATTGGGCAATACTGTACAATTGACAATTTCTTGCTATTGCGCAATATTGTGCTATTGGATATTTCTTGCTATTGCGCAATACTGTGCAATTGAAGATTTCTTGCTATTGCGCAATACTGTGCAATTGAAGATTTCTTGCTATTGTGCAATACTGTGCAATTGAAAATTTCTAGCTATTGCACAATACTTATTATATAATAATTTACACATCCTGTTTGGTGTGTATCTCCTACCATATCATTATTATTTGCTTTTAAATATAAATCAGAAATAACCAACTTAAAATGGAAAATTTTAAAAGAAAAAAAAAAAAAGGAAAAAAGAAAAAAAAAGGAAAAAAAAAAATATCCCCCCCCCCCCCCCAATTTTTTGAACCCCCTTATGATTCATCACCCCCAAACTCAATCCCAGCCTTCCCTTTGTGGTATGGTACCTTGCAGTACAATTTCAGAGAGATCCATACACTTGAACACAAGTTATTGTCTGGAAACTATAAAAATGTGTTTTTTGGCCCCTTTTTGGCCCCAAATTCCTAATCATTTAGGGCAATTACCCCCAAACTCAAACCCAGCTTTCCCTTTGTGATATGGAACCTTGTAGTACAATTTCAGAAAGATCCATACACTTACACACAAGTTATTGTCCTGAAACTAGAAAAATGCTTGTTTTTTGCCCCTTTTTGGCCCCTAATTCCTAAAATATTGAGGCAATTACCCCCATCATCAATCCCAGCTTTCCCTTTGTGGTATGGTACCTTGCAGTACAATTTCAGAGAGATCCACAGACTTGAACACAAGTAATTGTCTGGAAACTAGAAAAATGCTTATTTTTGGCCCCTTTTTGGCCCCCAATTCCTAAACGTTTCGGCAATTACCCCCAAACTCAATTCCAGCTTTCCCTTTGTGATATGGAACCTTGTAGTACAATTTCAGAAAGATCCATACACTTACACACAAGTTATTGTCATGAAACTAGAAAAATGCTTGTTTTTTGGCCCTTTTTTGGCCCCTAATTCCTACAATTTTGAGGCAATTACCCCCAAAATCAATCCCAGCATTCCTTTTGTGATATGAAACCTTGTGGTACAATGTCAGAGAGATCCATACACTAACACACAAGTTATGTCTGGAAGTTACAAAAATGCTTATTTTTGGCCCCTTTTTGGCCCCTAATTCCTTTACTGTTGGTACCATAACCCCCAAAATCAATCCCAACCTTCCTTTTGTGGTATTGAACCTTGTGGTAAAATTTCATAGAGATCCATTCACTTAAACTAAAGTTAGAGTGCGAAAACCAATGTGTCTTCGGACGACGCCAGACGACGCCAGACGACGACGACGACGACGCCAACGTCATACCAATATACGACCACAAAAATTTTTTTGCATTCGTATAAAAAGACAGCAACTTAAAAGCAAGAGTTTTATCTAATAATCACCATCTAGCCATCAAGTTCCCGTCTGGAAAATGAGAAAAAAATCCTCAACAATTTTATAATAGCAGGTACACAACTTTAACATATGTGTAACCCCCTGCGAAGTTTTAGTGATCTAACTTAAAAACTGTATGATGAGCTGATTACAAATTAGGTCCCATTTTTTCCAATATCCAACCATCATCGCCATACTATATGCTGGTTTGAGACTTGTCCAACCCAGCCAAATACAATATTTATATTCAAAATATCTAGGTCTTATTGCAATTTAAAAGTCATTTTCATTTTGTTTTTCTATTTCCATTACCAAACCTACCTTTGACTTGTGATCATTCAAAAGAGAAGAAACTTTCCCTTTTTCTTCTAAGCTTGCACTGGAATCCCTGAAATAAAAAAATGAAACACTTTGAAATAAAATATTTGCACTGTATATCATAAATGAAACATATTAACTTACATATATGTATATCATTATTACTCCAAATTCATAGCTAATTACAATCTAACAATAATATCTGACATTAAAAAAAAAACAAATGCTCTGGTGACAATTTTGGTCAGCTTATCTAATATATATCCAAAGATGAATCACAAGAGACTATGTTTTACTTATACTTTCCTAATGGGTTCAGATAAATGATAAAATTGTATTTGAATAATAACATCATACAAAATTCATGTGAGAATATTGGTTAATGCATATGTTTTTGCAGCATATGACTGAAAGCAATGGTGATGATAATTTGTAGTTGTCTGTAGGAGATAATCTCTAAGACTTGACAGAAATAGTAATAAAACCTACATACCCTTTCCTTTTTAACTTTTTCTCTATAGACTTTTCTGTAGCCTGTTTTTCTTTATCATGTTTGATCATTAAAGTGTCCACAACCATTGTATGTTGTTTATTCATTACACTTTTTTCTTTTTGGTGCTTCTTTTTTAATAAATCCATTTCTTTTTGTTGTTTTTTAATTAGTTTTATCACAGATTTATCTTTCATTAGTGTTTCTCTGTTGATCAGATTAAAGTTGAGCTCATCCCCTGAAAGAATAACAATCTTTTTTTATAAATCATACTAAAACTAGAATATAATGATATATCAATTCCAGTTTGTTGAAGGCATTTCTAACTCTGAATAGTCCAACTCGGTTGATTCAAAATCTCAGTTAACTCAGGTATATTTTGAAGTCCCCTCTAAGAGAAATGAACATAATTTAACCCCAAGTTGCCTAAGTTGAAGTGAAAGAAAATTTTGCAAGAAAAAGCAAATAATATCAGTTCGTAATACTTATTCAAATATTGAAATTGAAATTGAATCAATTTGTTTGTATAACAATCAGAATGGCATGTTAAACTTCTTGTTTGTCAACTTTGTCCACTAACAATCAGTTAAACTAACCTTCCTCCCTAAGCTGACCATTTGTTAACACTAGCAGCTGATACTGGTTCCCCAATAAACCAGTAAACTTACCTTCCTTCCTATGCTGATCATTGTTGACACTAGCAGCTAGTTCTGTTTCCCCAGTAAACCAGTAAACTTACCTTTCTTTCTAGACTGACCGTTGTTTACACTAGCAGCTGGTGTTGGTTCCCTAGTAAACCAGTAAACTTACCTTCCTTCTTAGGCTGACAATTGTTTACACTCGCAGCTGGTGTTGGTTCCTAAGTACACCAGTAAACTCACCTTCCTTCCTAGGCTGACCATTGTTAACACTAGCAGCTAGTACTGGTTCCCCAGTAAACCAGTCAACTTACCTTCCTTCCTAGGCTGACCATTATTCACACTAGCTGCTGGTACTGGTTCCCCAGTAACTTGTCCATTTATATTTCCACTAGAACTAGGCTTGGCTATAGGTCTGGTTATTGGGACTTCTGTAATGTCCTTAGGACTGATTCCTAACTGGGTCAGTTGACTTGTCACCATTTCTTGTTTACTTTTGGGATTCATCAAATCAACAACAAAAGCTAAAAATAAATTTGAAAATTTAGGTTAATAATATTTCTTTATTTTGTTACACCATTTTACTGTTTATGCTTAGAATGTTTTTTATATCATAAGTATAGATAAAAGGAGATGTGAGGTAAATGTCAAACATGAACCAAACAATATAGGCTTACAAAAATAGTCATCCAAAAAATAAAATGATCATAGTTCAAATAATAGAATTTAATTAAATCAAGATTAATTTGGTTTATTGAATTAACAAATACCTGTACTGACAGACTTGACAAATTGAGTCGTTCTTTACTACTATTGTTATGTTAATTTGAGAATGTGAGAGTTATGCTGTAAAACTCTGTGCATTTTAATAGTTTAATACAAAGCTAGAAGACGTTGGAAAATTAAAACCAACCCTCATCAGCCCTTATAAAATAAGTTTTGTTTGCTGCTGTTTTTATTTATTTTGCAAATGCTCTCGTCATACATCCATCTGTCATGGCAACATCTTGAAATACAAAGTTACAAAACAGGAGCACAATTTACTTGATTTTATGCAGACTATGGATAGCCCAGCTGCTACCTCCCAAGATATTGCTGACTGGACCACCCTTCAGTACATAAACTTTGGATCACCCAGCTGTGATACAACGATCAGTTCAATTGCATCAAGATTTTATTTTGACTGATAAATAATTTGGTTGTTTACTGTATGTTTTTGTTGTTTGAATTAAATTAAATATTGCCATGACAATTTATTAGACAAACAAAATCAGTGTTTGTTATTTGTTGTAGTGATATACAAATCAGTTTTTAATGACGTCTGTTTGTATAAATTTTGATATTTGGGTAATGTAAACCAAATGAACTGTTTTGATTAAATTATATATTCAATAACAGAATAATTACATATAATCCCTTTCAATATTTCATACATGTAAAACACATTCTATAAACGTTAATCTCAATCTTAAAATGATTTATTTTACTTTTTTTTCTAGAAATTAGCAACCAAGAAAAGTAGAAATGTATTCAATTCACAGAACAATCAATGCTTGTTAGCACTGAGGGATAAAGTTTGCTCTCAATTAGGATTGTGAATGTAAAAGTGGACATTACATTGTACTAAGCAAATCAGCATATTTTTTTGCTCAATTCTTCCATAATTGTAAATAGAAAATAAAGATTCATACATTATGTACAACTTTCTGCACATTATGAAATTTTTAATTAAATGGTTTCCTTAAGAAGTATGGTAATACATGTATACATCATTTTATAAATTGTATATAATATTACTAAATTTCTTGGCATGTGTAAGGATACCTACATCTACTAACTGTTTACCTCACTGCACTATTTTGTGTGCACTATTTCAGTTACTAGAATAAAATGTTTGTGAATCAGTTGAAAAGTTTCAATTATTCAAAGAAGAGACTTTTTACAGTATAAAATTGAGAATGGAAATGGGGAATGTGTCAAAGAGACAACAGCCCTACCATAGAGCAGACAACAGCCGAAGGCCACCAATAGGTCTTCAATGTAACTCCCGCACCCGAAGGCGTCCCTCAACTGGCCCCTAAACAAATATGCATACTAGTTCAGTGATAATGGACATCATACTAAACTTCAAATTATACACAGGAAACTAAAATTAAAAATGATACAAGACTAACAAAGGCCAGAGGCTCCTGACTTGGGACAGGCGCAAAAATGCGGCGGGGTTAAACATTTTTTTTGAGATCTCAACCCTCCCCCTATACCTCTAGCCAATGTAGAAAAAACAAACGCAACAGTACGTACAGTAAAACTCAGTTTAAGAGAAGTCCGAGTCCGATGTCAGAATAGGAAACAAAAGAAAATAAACAAAATGACAATAATACATAAATAACAACAGACTACTAGCAGTTACTGACATGCCAGCTCCAGACCTCAATTAAACTGATTAAAAGATTATGTCTTCCTCATATGAATATTAGGCACAATCCCTCCTGTTAGTACTTACTTTCCTTTTCCTCTGGTACATATGTGTTGAGTATAATTCTACAGAATACAGTAGGTAGTGATAATGGAAAATTCCCTTCTGTCCTCAGTGATATGTACCTGTAACCTACAATCACAATAGTTTACATCAAATTATATTTCTTCATTCAAAAATATATACTACTCCCCATAAAAAAATGGTAAATGTTGCATGCATTATCAAAATTCAGAAAAAGAAGACATCGAAGTTGGAAGATCTTTTGGTGATGTCATCTTTCTGAATCAATATAGACAAGATGTTTTCTGATTAATTTATCTAGGTTTAACTGTTGTTGATTGGTTCTATTTTATGAACGCTACCAAAAAAAAAAAAAAAAACTTCTATCTATTTACTAAGAAATAAAATTTACCTGCTTGTAAGCCATCTAAGGGAAGAATTCGCTGTCCTATTAATTTACCCGTTTCTTCATAAACAGCAATTCTTAATACTGCAAGATCTGGAAGAACAACCTGCAAATAGATTCAGATTTTGTAAAACTTTTCGGAAAGCAGACAAAAAGAGTGTACCATTTTAATCAAAATAATGATATTTATAAGTTATGATAAACTTAAAGAAGGCACTTTAAAAGTGAAAAAAAACAACTTTTTAAGTGCATTTTATTTTGTAAACTTATACTTAACACATACGTACTAGTGTAAAGGGAAAACAATAACTACATATTGTACATCAATGAAAATAATTCACATCATATTATATGATGATTTCATTCATTCAAAATATAACAAAAATAACAACAAGAGTGCACACTCTGAAATGTCTTGCCTGCTTTACTGACCATTGATTTTATGTTGAAAGTCTTAAAGATAAAGGTTTTACTAAAACCTTTACAGTAACTTAACATTTTAAAGATCTATGACAATGAGATCACGGTCAAATAAATCATGTATGACAGACATATAAACCTTACAATTTTTTTAAACACCAAATATAGTTGACCTATTGCGTATGGTAATTGAAAAACAGACCAAAACACAAAAACTTAAAATTGACAAATGAACCATGAAAATGAGGTCAAGGTCAGATTATACCTGCCAGACAGACATGTGCACCTTACAATTATTCAAAACACCATAAATAGTTGACCTATTGCTTTTAGTATTTGAAAAACAGACCAAAACACAACAAGAGTGCACATGCTGAAATGTCTCGCCTTCTTTACTGATATTTGATTTTATGTTGATAGTCCTAAATATAAAGCTTTACTACAAGTATCACATAAACTTAACATAATCCAAGAAAATGAGGCCAAGGTTAGATAAACCAAACCAGAAATACATGTACACCTTGCAATCATTCCATACACATAGTTGACCTATTGCTTATAGTTTCTTAGAAACAAACTTAACCAGGAAATTTAACATTGACCAATGAACCATGAAAATGAGGTCAAGGTCAGATGATACCTGCCAGATAGACATGTACACCTTACAATCATTCCATACACCATATATATAATTGACCTATTGCTTATAGTATTAGAAAAATAGACCAAAACACAAAAACTTAACTTTAACCACTGAACCATGAAAATGAGGTCAAGGTCAAATGACACCTGCCAGTTGGACATGTACACCTTACAATCATTCCATACACGAAATATAGTTGACCTATTGCTTATAGTTAAAGGAAAACAGACCAAAACACAAAAACTTAACACTGAGCAATGAACCGTGAAAATGAGGTTAAGGTCATATAAAACCTGTCAGACTGACATGTACATTGTAAAATATTTCTATACACCAAATATAGTTGACCTATTGCATATAGTATTAGAAAAAAAAACCAAAACACAAAAAACTTAACTATAATCACTGAACCATGAAAATGAGGTCAAGGTCAGATGACACCTGCCAGTTAGACATGTACACCTTACAATCATTCCATACACAAAATATTGCTTATAGTATCTGATATATGGACTTGACCACGAAAACTTATCCATGTTCACTGATCCATCAAATGAGGCTGAGGTCAGATGAAAACTGTCTGACAAACATAAGGACCTTGCAAGGTACGCACATACTAAATATAGTTATCCTATTACTCATAATAAGAGAGAAATAAACATTACAAAAAATCTTAACTTTTTTTTCAAGTAGTCACTGAACCATGAAAATTAGGTCAAGGACGATGGACATATGACAGACGGAAACTTCATAACATAAGGCATCTATATACAAAGTATGAAGCATCCAGGTCTTCCACCTTCTAAAATATAAAGCTTTTAAGAAGTTAGATAACACGGCTGCCGGATCACTATCCTTATGTCGAGCTTTCTGTGACAGAAGTCGCAGTCTCGACAAAAAACTCAACATTGACCATTGAACCATAAAATGAGGTCAAGGTCAGATGATACCTGCAAGACAGACATAAAATTGAGAATGGAAATGGGGAATGTGTCAAAGAGACAACAACCCGACCATAGAGCAGACAACAGCCGAAGGCCACCAATGGGTCTTCAATGCAGCAAGAAACTCCCGCCCCCGGAGGCGTCCTTCAGCTGGCCCCTAAACAAATATGTACACTAGTTCAGTGATAATGGACGTCATACTAAACTCTAAATTATACACAAGAAACTAAAATAAATAAAATGCTTCGCTGGGGCGCAGCTTGATACGACCGCAGAGGTCGAACCCTGAACAGTTGGGGCAAGTATGGACACAACATTCAAGCTTGATACAGCTCTGAATTTGGATTGTTATTAAATATTTGACACAGCATAGGTTTTTGACACAGAAAGAATGTGGTCTAAGAACTTGAATTTTTTTTAATTTACCTATTATGGTCCAATGTCCAAAATCAAAATACATGGTTAGATTCAGCATATCAAAGAACCCCATAAATTCATTTTTTGTTAAAATCAAACAAAGTTTAATTTTGGACCCCAACTTGGACAAACTTGAAAACTGGGCCCATAATAAAAAATCTAAACACATGTTTAGATTCAGCATATCAAAGAACCCCAAGAATTCAATTTTTGCTAAAATCAAACTAAGTTTAATTTTGGACCCTTTGGACCTTAATGTAGACCAATTTAAAAAACGGGACTTAAAATTAAAAATCTAAATACACGGTTAGATTTGGAATATCAAAGAACCCCAATAATTCAATTTTTGATGAAATCAAACAAAGTTTAATTTTGGACCCTTTTGACCTCAATATGAACCAATTTGATAGCGGGGCCCACAAATAAAAAATCTAAATTCATGGTTAGATTCAGCATATCAAAGAACCCCATATATTCAATTTTTGTTGAAATCAAAAAAAGTTTAATTTTGGACCCCAACTTGGACCAACTTGAAAACTGGGCCCATAATCAAAAATCTAAACACATGTTTAGATTCAGCATATCAAAGAACCCCAAGAATTCAATTTTTGTTAAAATCAAACTAAGTTTAATTTTGGACCCTTTGGACCTCAATGATTACCAATTTAAAAAACGGGACCCAAATTAAAAATCTAAAAACACGGTTAGATTTGGCATATCAAAGAACCCCAATAATTCAATTTTTGATGAAATCAATCAAAGTTTAATTTTGGACCCTTTTGACCTCAATATGAACCAATTTGATAGCGGGGCCTATAAAAATAAAAAATCTAAATACATGGTTAGATTCAGCATATCAAAGAACCTCATATATTCAATTTTTGTTGAAATCGAACAAAGTTTAAATACTGGACCCTATCTTGGACCAACTTGAAAACTGGGCCCATAATCAAAAATCTAAACACATGTTTAGATTCAGCATATCAAAGAACCCCAAGAATTCAATTTTTATTAAAATCAAACTAAGTTTAATTTTGGACCCTTTGGACCTTAATGTAGACCAATTTAAAAAACAGGACCCAAAATTAAAAATATAAATACACAGTTAGATTTGGAATATCAAAGAACCCCAAAAATTCAATTTTAGATGAAATCAAACAAAGTTTAATTTTGGACCCTTTTGACCTCAATATGAACCAATTTGATAACGGGGTCCACAAATAAAAAATCTAAATACATGGTTAGATTCAGCATATCAAAGAACCCCATATATTCAATTTTTGTTGAAATCAAACAAAGTTTAATTTTGGACCCTAATTAGGACCAACTTGAAAACTGGGCCAAAAATCAAAAATCTAAATACATGTTTAGATTCAGCATATCAAAGAACCTCATATATTCAATTTTGGCTAAAATCAAACAAAGTTTAATTTTGGACCCTTTGGACCTTAATGTAGACCAATTTGAAAACTGGACCCAAAATTAAAAATCTAAATACACTGTTAGATTCGGCATAACAAATAAATAAATGTGATCAAAGATTTTACAAATCTAATGCGCCATACTGTGCAATTAAAGATTACTTCTTGAAATTTTTCAATATTTGAAATTTGAAAAAAAATAATATTTGAAGAATATTTCTTTTTAATTTCTGAAATCTGAAATGAGAAAAAATTGACCCCCCACAATTTCTTTTTATCCCCCCAAAAAATTCTTTCCCTCAAGATATGGTCATAATCTCAATTCAAATTTCCAATGGAGTTGGCAACCATAATTACCCATTTAAATTTACCATAGTGCTAACTTAATCTATTTTATAATAGAATTAAAAATATAGTGTCAAATCTTTCATATGGAATTTTTTGTAAAAAAAAAAGATGCAACATTTGCAGATATTTTTACTGGTCTTCCTTTATAAATATGCATTTCTTTAAACATAATTTAAAAGCAGTGTAAGGGAAGTAACCAAAACGTTGTATTTGGATTACCTCCCTTACACTGTTTTAAATTATCTTTATTGTTCATTAACCATTACTTTATACATAATTTAAAAGCAGTGTAAGGGAGATAATTTCAATGATGTATTTGATTTATCTCCCTTACACTGCTTTAAATTATGTTTTGTACTAAAGTATTTGTCCATTAACCAGGACAACCTTGTTTTTCCCCCTTTTTTGCCCCTAATTCCTAAACGGTTTGAGCCATAACCCCCCAAAGCAAATCCTAACCATCCCTTTGTGGTATGGAAACTTGTAGTATAATTTCAGAGAGATCCATACACCGTTCCACAGTTATTGTCTGGAAACTAGAAAATGCCTATTTTTGGCCCCTTTTTGGCCCCTAATTCCTTAACTGTTGGTACCATAACCCCCAAAATCAATCCCAACCTTCCTTTTGTGGTATTTAACCTTATGGTAAAATTTCAAAAAGATCCATTCACTTAAACTAAAGTTAGAGTGCGAAAACCAATGTGTCTTCGGACGACGACGACGACGACGACGACGCCAACGTCATACCAATATACAACCACAAAATTTTTTTGCGGTCGTATAAAAATGATACAAGACTAACAAAGGCCAGAGGCTCCTGACTTGGGACAGGCGCAAAAATGCGGCGGGGTTAAACATTTTTTGAGATCTCAACCCTCCCCCTATACCTCTAGCCAATGTAGAAAAAACAAACGTACAACAGTACGCACAGTAAAACTCAGTTTAAGAGAAGTCCGAGTCTGATGTACACCTAACACTCATTCCATACACAAAATATAGTAGACCTATTGCTTATAGTACCTGATATATGGACTTGACCACTAAAATTTAACCATGTTCACTGATCCATGAAATGAGGCTGAGGTCACATGAAAACTGTCTGACAAACATGAGGACATTGCAAGGTACGCACATACTAAATATAGTTATCCTATTACTCATAATAAGAGAGAAATAAACATTACAAAAAATCTTAACTTTTTTTTCAAGTAGTCACTGAACCATGAAAATGAGGTCAAGGTCAGATGATACCTGCAAGACAGACATGTACACCTAACAATCATTCAATACACCAAATAAAGTTGTCCTTTTGCTTATAGAACTTGAAAAAGAGACAAAAACCCCAAAACTTAACATTGACCAATGAACCATGAAAATGAGGTCAAGGTCAGATGAAACCTGCCAAACTGTAATGTACCCATTACAATCATTCCATACAAAAAATAGATGACCTACTTCTTATAGTATTTGAGAAATGGACCTGATCACATAACTTTAACCTAGATCACTGATCCATGAAATGAGGTAGAGGTCAAGTGAACTCTGTCTGATGGACATGTAGACGTTGCAAGGAACCCCTATATCAAATATAGTAATTCTTTTACTCATAATAAGTGAGAAATTCACATGACAAAAAAACTCAAATTTTTTTTCAAGCAGTCGCTGAACAATGAAAATGAGGTCAAGGACAATGGACATATGACAAACGGATACTTCATAACATAAGGTATCTGTATACAAGATATGAAGCATGCTGGTCTTATACCTTCTGAAATATAAAGCTTTATACAAATAGTTAACATCCCCGCTACCGCCGGATAGTAATAACTATTTCTAGCATACTGCGACTAAAGTTGCAGGGGAGACAACTAAGGCACTTTAAAAGTGAGAAAACATCAAGTTATTTAGAGTTTTACACACACAATCTAAAGCACTTTATAAAAGGTTTCAATTCAAAATATAGTTAATCAAATTTCTTTTTTCCTAAAATATTTTCAACATACCTTTCTAAAGACAAATGGATCCTCGTTATATACAGGATTTAATCCATTGGCCGGAACAACCTTGGTACGGAATTCTTTACGAATAGTGTCTGTAGGTAAACCATACATGTCAACTTCAACATAAGTTCCAATCTTTTTATCAGACAAAAACTGTCCAGATATAACCTGTGAGAAAAACAAACAAATATTTTTTTTCAAGCATACATTAAGCAAAGATAAACATGGTTCTAACTATATATGTACCCAAATAACAAACACAAATATTTTTTGGCAAAATTTAATATGAGCCACAGGCTTATACTCAGGAAATTTCTTTACCCACATCATAGTGACATCAACATAAATGTACAAGACATCATGTACCAAAATATATGTTCGGTACGTTTACACATCATACCAAATTGTCAATGAGACAGGATCTCCAAATGAAGCTATGTTGGATGCTTTTGCAACTTTCTTTATCTTAGAAACCTTGAGGCAAATAGATAAAGATATGAATATAAATATTGATATTTGACACTTTTTTAATACTTTCTGATTCCTAACTCCAGGGACAAAAAAAAATGACCTCATCATATCATCTGCAATCTTTTCTTATCAATGTTTATTATATAGACAATAATAGTGTATTGACTTGACATAATAAATATTTAATGATAAGGTGTAGAAATAGAGAAAATATGTAGCACCTTTTTCAAAATATTTTCAAAACAGCTTTAAAGGTTCACCACAGAAAGACATCTTACATTGGCTGAGTAACATTGTTAGGTTTCATGGAAAGTTTGTACATTTCATTATGAATTTAGATTAGAAGTGTCCAATTTATCCATGATCTTCAATAGGTAGTCTGCAGTAAAAAAATTGTTTAACACATTTATTGGTGTTGTTTTGTTTATTTGTGTCATGGGTATGCTGTTTCATTGACATATTTCTAATACCCTCCTTTTATCCATATTTACCTGAACTGAACAATGAGCAGGAATTATTCCATCAACTGGACTTTCAGAGAAAGGATCAAAGGTTCTGTCTGGCCGTCTCATAAAATCTGGCTTCAATAAATAACTAAAAAAGATTGTATTTTCTACAGAATACAGAATAACTGTTTGCTTAAAAACATGATATATTTAGATTCTACAACTTCAAGTGAGACATGACATTTCTCAACTCAACGATTAAAAGAAAGAACGGATGCACAGACCGAAAAACATAATCTATCGTAGGTGGGGCATAAAAATGTGAGAATTCTAAAACAGACATTTTTTGTGTTGCTGTGTTTTTGCCTTAAATTATAGATGTATGCCACACATCTCTTAAATTTATATTTTTTAATCTAAGAATTATAATCACTCTATAGATCAAATGTACTTATGTTATCTGGGTATATAATTTAATCACAAAAACATAACCTTGATCACTGAACTGTGAAGTGAGATCAAGGTCAATTGAACCTGGCCAAAGTAATATGAATACCTTTCAACGATTCTGTATACGAAATATATTTGATCTACTAGTTTTTCTCATAATAACTGGGAAAAAAAATTATTAAAACCTATGCTGTTGATGTAAGCAATCACTGAACGATGAAATTGAGGTCAAGGACAGTTTCATTAAGCTAAGCAGCAATTTCAGACCATAAGGTGCCTGCATACAAGACATTGAATTACTCAAAGACAATAAATCATAGTACAAGAATAGCAAATTTTCAATTTGTTAACTTGTTTTGGATGAATTTTTGATGCTTTTAATGTATGGCATTGTAAAGATTATATCAAACTTTGCTATATTTATTTGATATGTTAAGCAGGCTTTTAACCCACAGACAGTGTGTCCTTTTCTATATAGATATTCTGTACAAAAGAAGAAAGTTGCTCACTTCTATTTGTAATTCAAAGTATTAGAAAACAGGAAGTAGGTGTCTGACAGATCCTTAAAGCACTTACAAGCTGCTGACCAGTTCAGTAGTACTGGACAAAGTGTGATAAAAAATATTAAGTTCATTCAACATATTGAAATTTAATAAGAATTAGTAGATAGATGTTGGACAGATCCAAAAAATCCTCACATATTACAACTGATCGTTGTCCAGCTGCTAACGTAAAATCCTCACATATTACAACTGATCATTGTCAAGCTGCTAACGTAAAATCCCCACATATTACAACTCATCATTGTCAAGCTGAATGTAATATAGCCACCTCTAGTAGAGTAGGTGTATGAAATTAAAGAAGTAGGCCCGGCCCGTTAAGACCCCTTTTTTACCCCAAAATATAGCATTTCAAAAATTTGTTAAAAATGTAAACTTTTAGCTTTTTATTGGATAGTTGAATACTTTTGTTACATAAATATGGGCTGTTTTTGACAATACAATGGACATGCATCAGGTACTAACATCATTCATTCATGCAAAATTACTGAAATCTTCACAATTTTAGCATTTGTGCTTATTTTAAGACGGTTTTGACTAAAATGGAAGTGGCCGCACTCGTGTTCAGTCTCAATATTTGAATATATGTTGTATTTGATAATACTACATAACATATATAAAGGTTGAGACTGAACATGAATGCGGCCACTTCCATTTTAGACAAAAACCGTCTTAAAATGACATAAACCATCTGAAAAGTGACGTTTCGTGGTATATTTGATAGATTTTTTTATATCTAAGCTTGAATTTAGTCGTCTTTAATGACCAAATCAGTTCAAATCTTTTACATAAACTAATTAAATTGACAGAAGAAGACACTTAAGTGTTTAGAAGATGTCAAAAATCTTTCATCAGATGTACTTCAAATTTTTAGGCCAAAATAAAAAGATTACAGTGCAAGATTTCAGGATTTCTACGTCAACACATTTTGTTAAGTACTTTAAGCTTGGTTTCAGTATGTGCAACCATTCCTTAATGTGGTACTTTTTTTATTTTTATCTTTGTTTTTGTAATTTCAATATTCAGTTTTTGAATAAATGTGTTCCTTTTGTTTAATAATCTAGCTGATTGGGATATTGGGATTAAGGATGGAGAGAAGGGAGAACAAAATAAACAGACAGAATTTTTTTTATCTTACCCACAGTTGCCATTATATTCAAATTTTCCCTGATTAAGTTGCATGGCTAAATCTGGAGTCTGGAAATTGAGAGCTACCATTTGACAACCAGCATTCCAAAATATCTGAAAATTTCAAACGTGTACTATAACCTCCTAAAACATCCATACTTTCTCTCCAATAAATGGGTGAAATTTATGCAGACCATATGCAGAATTTATTTATAGGTTTCAACTTTTATTCAAAAATTTTAAAATCTACCTCTGAAAACCAATCCCCTAGCATAAGAAAAATCTGTAATATTTCAAAATTTTTAAACGTCTATTAAATAGATGTAATAAAGATTACCCAAGCCACCTAAAATGTTGTTCAAGTAAATTAACAGTCATTCATGTATGAATTAAATCTCCCACTTTGGAGAAAATATCTTAATATTTTTCCATTGTCCACAATAATTTAAAAAGAAGAACTAGAATATCATAGAAAACCATGCAAAATAGGTTAATATTATGCACATGGAATCTGAAACATTGTATGCTATAAAAATAAGTTAAAATATACAAGACTGCACCTTTTAATAGGATTTGTGTATTGATTTAAGTGTTTATGGAACAAAACAAATAAGTTATATGTAATTTTTTATTACAAAATGACTATTTCATATAGTACTGCAACAGATGTGGATTTATTTTGTGTGTAATAAAGACTGCAAAACTTTTCACCTATTGTCAAATTGAATATAATTTTCCTGTATGGTTTCATAAATCATTGAATTGATATCAGGTATGTAATAAATTTTTGCTGGTTGATGAATGAACATATTAGTACTTCAATTTATAAGGTGTCATAAATTTAAGCATGTGGGCTACAACGACAGTCAGGGTCAAAAGTGTTTCACCACTTATTTTAAGTTCTGATTTTGATGAAATATTTACTGTTAAACTCATAAATTGGAAAATTTATGGAATGTTATTGTTTAAAAATATGGCAAATCTAGCTGTGATCGAAAATTCTATTAATTGTATGTATCTATGCACGTACCTGTGGCAAGTAGTTGCTTGAATCCACCCTTCCACCTCGGGGGTATATTCTACTCATCTGCCGCTTATTATAACTGCACATGAGTTAAGGATTTTACTTTATTATGTAATATGAAACAAACTTAATTTTTTTTCTCTATTTTTCTGTTATGATAAACATAAATCTGAGTATTCAGATATGCATCATCAACCAAAGGCATTCATATCATTTCAGAGCAATAATATATTACATTTACATATGTTTTAGCGGGGGCCTCGGTGGCCGAGTGGTTTAAGTAGTTACTACTGTAATCACTAGCCAGTCAACATTGAGGTTGTGAGTTCGAACCCCGCTCATGTGGGTGCACTCGACGCCAATCTTAATTGACTAGGATTGTCAATTTTCCTATCGAAGGTCTGTGGTTTTCTCCGAGCACTCCAGCTTCCTCCACCAATAAAAACTAGCTGCCGCGAAATAGCCCAAAAGCGGTTCTTAAAAGTGGCGTTAAAACACCAAAAATCAAATTATATGTTTTAGCTAAGTGTTAATTTAATATAGGAGATGCACAGCTTCATTCCTATAAAAAAAATCTGTTTATGTACAGCTGTTTTTTCCAATTATCTATAAGTGGTTGCAGTTTAGAATATTTTGTTTGGTGATATTTAAATAAGCATCCAAAAACCACTTTTCTGCAGAAAGTTCACTCTGTTTTTATTAGCTTTGACCTTGACCTTATACCTAGTGAAATCAATTGGGATCTTCCTCTTATTATATGTTACCTTATAACTAAGAAAGGCTGCAAACCCATATGTAGCATCTGGTTTAGAATAAATAAATGGGGAATGTGTCCATGGGACACGGATGATGCCCCCCTTGCATATAACGTTATAAAGGGACTTAACTCAAGAACGGTAAAATTGACGCTACCCAAATTCGTACTTGATCTGCGTTTTGTGGTAATAAGCATTGTGTATAAGTTTCATAACATTAGGTTGAGGCAAACTTAAGTTAAGAGAACGGAAACGAAAAATTCAGCAATTTTTCCATTTGTAAAGGGGCATAACTCTATAAAGGTAAAAGTGATGCCAACTTAATTCAAACTTAATCTTTGTTTTGTGGTAATAAGCATTGAGTATAAGTTTCATAACATTTGGTTGAGGCAAACTAAAGTTAGAGAACGGAAACCAATTTCGAGACGTACAGACGGACAAGGGTAAAACTTAATGCCCCCTCGACTATGGCAGGGGCATAAAAACCAGTTTTATGCTCAAATTTCTGTTTATTTTTTAATAGCTTTGACCTTGACTTAAGATACATTGACCTCAAAATCAATAAGATCTTCCTCTCAATATATGTTACCTGAATCCAAGTAAGGTTGTAATACCATATGTATGACCATGACCTTGGACATAGTAACCTCAAAATAGACCTTCCCTTCATTATATATTACCATATATCCAAGTATGGTTGCAAACAAATGTAAAGTATTGGAGTTAGCATCAAGAAAAAATAACTGATGCACTGATTGACAGACAGGTAAAAATAATACTATGTCACTCTTCCCCACGGTATAATTAATAGGAATTGATAATTTTACTCTCTGATGAAAAGATTGCACATGTTTAGATGGGGACAGTTAAGTGGTGAAGGGTCAGTTAAAACCGATAGTGATCGACAACAGATAGTGAGTCCTGTATGTTAACTGACATTAGACAGTGACCCCTACATGTTAACTGACAACAGATAGTGACCCCTGCATGTTAACTGAAAACACATAGTGACTCCTATATGTTGACTGAAAATATATAGTGACCCCTGCATGTTAACTGACAATACATAGTGACCCCTGTATATTAACTGACAATAGATAATGACCCCTGAATTTTTATTGACAATAGATAGTGACCCCTGTATGTTAACTGAAAATAGATGGTGACCCCTGTATGTTTATTGACAATAGATATCTACTCCTGTATGTTAACTGACAATAGATAGAGACTCTTGTATGTTAATTATCAATTATGGACTTTTGATGAGGTCAATACGTTATATATAGACATGTTCAGATTACATTGACCAAGGACGAAGTCCGAGGTTCAATATAATCTAACAGTTCCATATATAACATATTGACTGAGTGAAAGTCCTTAATTTATATATTAATTATGTAAAAAGTGTAAGTTTGAAAATGATATTGACTCGATGTTACTATTTTTGGAAATGACATTGACTCGATGTTACTATTTTTAGTAACATGGAGTCAACATTATTTTCAAAAATAGCAACGTTAAGTCAATATGTCAAAATAGTGAATAAATACAAAATATACATTGGAAAACACATGACTAAATAAACCAATGACAAACAAGAATAAAATGCTCCGCAGGGCGCAGCTTGATACGACCGCAGAGGTCGAACCCTGAACATTTGGGGCAAGTATGGATACAACATTCAAGCTTGATACAGCTTTGCATTTGGATTGTGATTAAAGATTTGACACAGCATAGGTTTCTGACACAGAATGAATGTGGTCTAAGAACTTAAAAATTTTAAATTGGACATTCACCAATTATGGTCCAATATCCAAAATCTAAATACATGGTTAGATTCAGCATATCAAAGAACCCCAAGAATTCAATTTTTGATGAAATCAAACAAAGTTTAATTTTGGACCCTTTTGACCTCAATGTGGACATAGTTGATAACGGGGCCCAAAAATCAAAAATCTAAATACATGGTTAGATTCAGCATATCAAAGAACCCCATATATTCAATTTTTGTTGAAATCAAACAAAGTTTAATTTTGGACCCCGATTTGGACCAACTTGAAAACTGGGCCCATATCAAAAATCTAAATACATGTTTAGATTCAGCATATCAAAGAACCCTAAGAATTCAATTTTTGTTAAAATCAAACTAAGTTTAATTTTGGACCCTTTGGACATTTATGTAGACCAATTTGAAAACGGAACCAAAAATTAAGAATCTAAATACACGGTTAGATTCGGCATATCAAAGAACCCCAATAATTCAATTTTTGATGAAATCAAACAAAGTTTAATTTTGGACCCTTTGGACCTCAATGTGGACCAATTTAAAAACGGGGCCCAAAATCCAAAAACTAAATACACGGTTAGATTAAGCATATTAAAGAACCCCAAAAATTAAAGAATAAAACCCCATTGAAATTGGTCAAGAAATAAGCAATTTATACGAAGTATCTTCTTTTGCACAATACTGTGCAATTAAATATTTCTTGCTATTGTGCAATACTGTACAATTGACAATTTCTTGCTATTGCGCAATATTGTGCTATTTGATATTTCTTGCTATTGCGCAATACTGTGCAATTGAAGATTTCTTGCTATTGCGCAATACTGTGCAATTGAAGATTTCTTGCTATTGTGCAATACTGTGCAATTGAAAATTTCTAGCTATTGCACAATACTTATTATATAATAATTTACACATCCTGTTTGGTGTGTATCTCCTACCATATCATTATTATTTGCTTTTAAATATAAATCAGAAATAACCAACTTAAAATGGAAAATTTTAAAAGAAAAAAAAAAGGAAAAAAAGAAAAAAAATGAAAAAAAAAAAAATCCCCCCCCCCCCCCAATTTTTTGAACCCCCTTATGATTCATCACCCCCAAACTTAATCCCAACCTTCCCTTTGTGGTATGGTACCTTGCAGTACAATTTCAGAGAGATCCATACACTTGAACACAAGTTATTGTCTGGAAACTAGGAAAATGTGTTTTTTGGCCCCTTTTTGGCCCCAAATTCCTAAACGTTTAGGGCAATTACCCCCAAACTCAAACCCAGCTTTCCCTTTGTGATATGGAACCTTGTAGTACAATTTCAGAAAGATCCATACACTTACACACAAGTTATTGTCCTGAAACTAGAAAAATGCTTGTTTTTTGCCCCTTTTTGGCCCCTAATTCCTAAAATATTGAGGCAATTACCCCCATCATCAATCCCAGCATTCCCTTTGTGGTATGGTACCTTGCAGTACAATTTCAGAGAGATCCATACACTTGAACACAAGTTATTGTCTGGAAACTAAAAAAATGCTTATTTTTGGCCCCTTTTTGGCCCCCAATTCCTAAACGTTTCGGCAATTACCCCCAAACTCAATTCCAGCTTTCCCTTTGTGATATGGAACCTTGTAGTACAATTTCAGAAAGATCCATACACTTACACACAAGTTATTGTCATGAAACTAGAAAAATGCTTGTTTTTTTCCCCTTTTTTGGCCCCTAATTCCTAAAATTTTGAGGCAATTACCCCCAAAATCAATCCCAGCATTCCTTTTGTGATATGGAACCTTGTGGTACAATGTCAGAGAGATCCATACACTAACACACAAGTTATGTCTGGAAGTTACAAAAATGCTTATTTTTGGCCCCTTTTTGGCCCCTAATTCCTTTACTGTTGGTACCATAACCCCCAAAATCAATCCCAACCTTCCTTTTGTGGTATTGAACCTTGTGGTAAAATTTCATAGAGATCCATTCACTTAAACTAAAGTTAGAGTGCGAAAACCAATGTGTCTTTGGACGACGCCGGATGACGCCAGACGACGACGACGCCAACGTCATACCAATATACGACCACAAAAATTTTTTTGCGGGCGTATAAAAATCAAACCATATGTTATATCTGACAATAGATATTGACCTATGTATGTTAACTGACAATAGATAGAGACTTCTAGGTGTTGACTTACAATAGATAGTGACTACTGTATGTTTATTGACAATAAATAGTGAACCTTATATGTTAACTGACAATAGATAGAGACTCCTGTATGTTAACTGACAATAGCTAGGGACTTCTGTATGTTAACTGACAATAGATAGTGACCCCTGTATGTTAACTGACAGTAGATAGGGACTATTAGGTGTTGACTGACAGCACATAGTGACTTCTGTGTGTTGACCAACAACAGAGTGATACCCAACAACAAATAGTGACTGCTGTGCGTTGTCTGACAACAGATTGTGACCCCTGTGTGTTGACAGACAACAAATAGTGACTTCTGTGCATTGACTGACAACAGATTGTGACCACTATGTGTTGACCAAC